CTCATGTAACATCCACTGCAAGTCCAGGGCAAGTTGGGTTCCATGGGATGGTTCCGCATCATATACTCCTCTATCGACACGTACTCCCGCGACCGCTCGGGAAGGAACTGGTGGTTGAGCCTCTCGCCTGCAATTCAAGGCTTCTGCCTGTACTTCATTGGCTGAAGTAAGTCACGTGGGCTTCCCTAACCTCACAGAGCTGGGGGCTGGCAGTCCCAGTACACGTTCAGACAGCACAGAGCTAGTGTCTGCTGCCACTTTGCAGCAACTAATAACGCTAACAGGGTGCACAATTTTTTGACCTGGGCCAACTATCCGTACTACATCAGGTGGGGGAAAAAAGGTACTCACCCATTAACACTATAAGTGTGTGCTCTATATGTACATGTGCATTTAAAAAAAAACCCTGGAAAGATACACAGCATAAGTTTAACAGTGGTTTCTCTGGGTGGTTGGACTAAGGGTTTTTTAAAAAAATCTTTTAAATACTTTTTGGTATTACCTTTTTATTTCCCTTTTCTTTTTATTATAATAAACGTATTATTATTATATTTTTTTCTTTGGCCACGCTATGCACCTTTTGGGATCTTAGTTCCCCAACTAGGAATCGGACCTGGGCCCCTGGCAGTGAGAGCACCGAGTCTTAACCACTGGATTGCTAGGGAATTCCCAATAAACATATTATCTTGATGATGAGAGAAAATAAAGCTTTAGTACTTAAAAAAAAAAAAAAAAAATCAATAAACTGCCATTCTGATCTCTAAACCAACCCCTTATCAGTTAAGCTGAGGACTCAGTTCTCCTGGGTCTGAACCACCCTGTGTTTCTTCATAAGACTGAGCTGTTGGCAAGGGGACCTAGCACAGGGATAATGGTGTTTCCACGTGGCTCAGGGCACTCGGGGCCTGCATATCCTGAGTGATCCGACTCCAGGGCTTCACAAACTTCAAAACAGATCATACCTACTTCCTTTATATAAAACTCTCATTACACGCTAGCACATTAAGGCAGGCGGTATGAAGAAGGCACGTGCTTTCAAGTCAGACAGACAGTATCTACTTGGTTTTCTCATTTGTAAGACGGGAAAAACAATGCCTTGCAGAAGTGTTGCCGGGACTGAATAATGCAAAGTCCGCAGAGCACCCAGCACACAGACAGTGCTAAACCACGGTAGCTACTACTGCTGCCCTATGTCCAGATCAAACATAACAAAAGCCAAATTGAGCAACAGAGTAACAAGCAAGGAACACTTTATTATACGCACATTCTCAAAAAACCCACAAAAACAGAACCCGTAAATAGAAGCAAAGAACAAAGTTTTCTAGCTGTCTGGGACACGCAGGGCACCCTATCTTATAGAAACATAGCTAGTACAAGACAAAACGTACTAATCAACATTGCCCTTTGCTTCCCCAGTCAAAAAAGCCTCTAGAGAAAAACACTTTAAATTGTATTCTAATATAAATTTGTTGCACAACTAAACGTCAACTTACTCAAAGAGTTACTGTATAGTAAATAGCAGAAAATAGAGTAGGCATTCAATAATCTGCTCACAATTAACAATTAAGCAATAGACACTTGAATAAATATAGCATGTATTACTTGTTAAACTTCACATTTATAATAAGGAGATGGTTTGTCATTAATAGTAACGGGTTTCTTACATTTAAGGAGATACCAGGTCCAGTAACGGAAGTAGGACGCAATGTAATGAAAGCTGATTTTAGGGCTTCCCTGGTGGCGCAGTGGTTGAGAGTCTGCCTGACGATGCAGGGGACACGGGTTCGTGCCCCGGTCTGGGAAGACCCCACATGCCGCGGAGCGGCTGGGCCTGTGAGCCATGGCCGCTGAGCCTGCGCGTCCGGAGCCTGTGCTCCGCAACGGGAAAGGCCACAACAGTGAGAGGCCCGCGTACAGCAAAAAAAAAAAAAGAAAAAAAGAAAACTGATTTTAGAAAATATCTCCTTGGGTCTGAGCCACTATGGTATTTATTCCATACTTAGGCCTGTTTCAACAGTTTAAAAATGTAGGTATTCACAAACTGAATGCTTCAGGGGGAGAACAAAGTGACACCATCTTCTAGAGCAATATGTTTTGTTTATATCCTCTAGGCAGCAGGATAGAACTAGGACATAGTAAACAGAGATTTACAATGTAATGAATAATCTGTTTCCATCTCATGCTATAAGGGTATATTCCTATCACCTGCACTAATAAAGAGCAATTTTAGAACATGTTTAGAATGAAGAATTGGCAAGTCCTGATCACAAACATACTAGATCTAAACAGAAGGATATTCTCTAACGTTCTGTACTTTGTGATCCCTAATTGCAACTCAGCGTGAGTATTCAGGAATGGAAAAACCGGTAAACCCTTACTCAAAGAACTATGTTAAGTGACCCGTTTAAAGAGTAACGCAGTCAAAATAAGGCAATAACTAGAAGTCTAGCTGTACTCTATGTGCCCAGTCACTAAAATTGTGAAAATAGTTGTTACCCACCTTTATAAAAAATATTACCCCATTTGCTACCTAGTGTGTGATAGAGACAAGGCAAGCCTGCCATGTGCGTTTCAAAAAAAAAAACAAACTGGTAATAAACTCTGGTGGAGAAAAAATACATTGAAACATTCTCCTTTCCTTTTCTGGATACCCTGCTCCAATTCTTCCTCACACAGACCTTTCCTCCTTGACTTAGGTTAACCCCTTAGGAAGCGCTATATCAGCATTATATTCTCTATGAAACACTGAGTTTTTCATTAAGGATTTTTTAAAATAAAAAAAGTCTCAAAGCTATGGCATATTCTCAGCAGCTGCGAAACTCTGCTCAGTCTACCACAGACATCATAAAATCATATTTTACAGAGGTTAAAGGAAAGCAAAACCACAGTTCGGCACTCTTCAACATGGCAAGGGATAGATCATATTCTGTTTTCCTTGCAGGACTTCATAAAATCCCCAGGATAGCACCTTTGTATGAGCTGAACCATCGACTAAACTGAGCTAACATTCAACACTGCCATTCAAGTTACCATCACTCAAATTTTCATCTGGATTATGTTAGTAACAGACATTAGGCAAAGGGCCTAGTAAAAAGTTTTAAAGAAAACATCTTTTTCAGGTGATATAACACAAAAATTACAAGGAGCAACAAAGTTGACTTCTATTGCAGATCATTCTAGAACATGATGTGCCTGACCCCCTTTCCTTATTTGTGCCACTTGGCCATTAAGACATCTTAGTTTAACTGCCTGTCTTAAACAATTAAAAAAAACTCATACAGAGTGAAGTAAGTCAGAAAGAGAAACACAAATACCGTATGCTAACACACATATATGGAGGAATCTAAAAAAAAAAAAAAGGTTCTCATGAACCTAGGGGCAGGACAGGAATAAAGACGCAGACGTAGAGAATGGACTTGAGGACACGGGGAGGGGGAAGGGTAAGCTGGGACAAAGTGAGAGAGTCGCACTGACGTATATACACTATCAAATGTAAAACAGACAGCTAGTGGGACGCAGCCTCATAGCACAGGGAGATCAGCTCCGTGCTTTGTGACCACCTAGAGGGATGGGATAAGGAGGCTGGGAGGGAGGCTCAAGAGGGAGGGGATATGGGGATATATGTATATGTGCAGCTGATTCACTTTATTATACAGCAGAAACTAACACACCATTGTAAAGCAATTATACTCCAATGAAGATGTTAAAAAAACCATTTTAATTAACAGCTGTTATTTTAAAATATTTAGTCCCTTAGTTATATCATACAGAACGATATTGTCTTGATATGATTCCCCAAAAGCGATGCAGTAGTGTTTTTCAATATCCATTAGTAAGACTAACAAAAATACTCTTGCTATCTATTTTAAAATCTGTCCTTAAAAAAAGTCGACTTCTCTCCACTCACTTCCATAGCCCTAAAGTAACAGATACATGTTTTGCTGTTAAGAACAAATAGATATTTGAATATTAAAAGACAGGCTCCCCATTCCCTACCTCTGCCCCATCCTGGTACTAAGTCGCCAAAAACTTTTAAAATGCCGTTTGATACAACAGATTTTGCTAATTGTTATGAACGTAATTTACAAGTTAGGAATTACTGTGCAGGACCTGGTTAACAGTTACTGCTCTGGATTACCGATTTCCTTCTATGAAATAAGTTATAACTAAAAGTCAACCTAGTTTAAAAAGCTTTGGAGTCCTTTTCTGAGGTGTCTATTAAATTGCCACAGTATCACAGGGGCTCATCTTGGAACTGCAAATAGATTGTGTCTTTTAGGAGGACTGGGCTGTTCCATGGAATGGGCTGATCATTTCCCATCACAGTCATGCTGGTAGCTGGGTTTTCCATTAGTCATCACTGACTGCAATCAGAAAAAGTCAGGCGGCTTCTGTGAGTCCCGTGTTAACAGCACCATAGAAACGTCTTGTCCTCAGAGCACATTTGGGGGAAAGGGAAGAGTGCGGACTACCTTGGTTAGTATAGAAACTGTACAGCTCACTTAGTGACAATCTGAGAGTTCGCCCACGGCATGCTGGCTGGGACGAGAAACAACTGAAGTGGGCCACACACTGAGAGCAGACATGGCACTACCTGGAGAGGACAGATATTGTTAAGAGGTTTCTCAGTGACAAGGGGTAGAGAATATTCACAGACTGCCAGCAGATGAGGACAATCTCTGGGCTCCTAAGTCCCACCGCAGCCCCCAAGGGAGAGACCAAGCCCTCCTCCCCTGACCTCTGCTCTGCCTGCAGAGAAGCATGGGAGCCCCTGCGGGCCCAGCAGGTCTGGGGGGAAGTGTGTTTGTAGTTGGAACTGCTTGAAGAAAGTTCTAGGCTTTAATTCTTCCGTTCAGTATTTTTCCTCTGAAACTCTCACGTGCTAAATTACTGCCTCAGCACACGTCAGCTCACCACGCCCGAGGACGTCTTGCTGGAGTAACTCCACTCCTCGGGGGCTCGCTACATCCCACGGGTAGTTCCACAAAGGCCCCAAAACACACCTTTACATTTTTTTTTCTTTTTAAAAACGCTGATTTGTTTTTTAGTGGTTGCTGTCCATCCACATGACAGTGAATGTGGAGCTACAGGGAAGCATCCTGTTTGGTGAAGGCTGCTGCTGGGAAGGTGCAGACCCCGCCCGGCTCCTGGATCAATGTGGAGAAAACCCAGTGGCCAGGCTGCAGCCCACCACGGGCGTCATGTCCCAAATCTGCAAGAGAAGGGGTAGGCCTGGAGACGCAGCACCGGTCACGTGGCCCCCCAGGAGGCGCTGTTGGTGCTGAGAACAGACAGCTGTTACACTCTCAAAGGGGCCAACATAACTCATTCTCTTCTTTCCTACAAAACCTTCTCGAGATTTACATAGCGACGAAACAACGTGGTCAGCTAAAATATCAAAAAAGCTTATAAGCAGTATCTCTCTCAACACCTGCAAATTACATCATAGTGATGTTTTACTATAACTTTACTTTTATTTTTAATAAAAAGCCCACTGGGGAAAAGCCCAGTTTTTTAAATTATGAAATAAACTATTTCATAGTTTTACAACTCAAGAGTGGTACTAAGGATAAAACACTTACTTTCAGTTTCTGCGTTAGCCACCCAGGGATTTAATAAAAAAGCGTGTGGCTATTTCTTATACGTGGGAAGCCTTCTGCCCAGGATGAAAGGATCAATAGCCAGGGAAGGAGTGATCAGAGAAAGGGGTCAGCTAAGGCCAGGCAGTGGGAGGGAGGACCCTGGGGCTAGCTCAGTGCAGACAGTGACAGAGGCGTGCCAGGCCCTCACTGGCTCACCTGGAGAGACCGACGTGGCCGAGGGAGACACCACCAAGGGCGTGGAAACTCACAAACATGCAGTTCGTTTCCAGGTTTCCACGTGGCTATAGGTTGTTCATCAAAAGGCAAGGTGAGTTTGCCAATCAGAAATGCCTTATGCACATTCATAGCATGACGGTGGAGCAATGTACACTGAGGTGCTAATTGGCAGGTTACCTTCACCACGCGATCGGTCCCACAGGTCACCATCAGGCCCCTAGCAACATCCATGGACATGTGGGAGATGTTATGTTTTCCTTCGTGAAAGGTTGCTAGAGAAGTCCGACTAACAGAGAGAAAAGAGACCATTTAAACTCACCCCACTGTTTCGAGAGCCAAGGGATGAATTTTCTTAGCAACAGAGAGGAAATACGATTAGCAGTGTCAAAATTCGCTCAAAAAATGTGGCTGCGGTTTTGAAAACTATAATTAAAGGATGATGGAAAGCATGATAAGTTGCAAGACTGTCTTATAAAAGATTTTCTAAAACTCCCAAAATAACCAAATTTCTTTTTCTTTTTCTTTTTTTTTAGCGGAAAGGCTGGTACCTTCCTAGACATAAGGACAAGACTACACTGCATGAGATCCCAGGCTGCAGGCTCCCCCGGAACCCTGGTGTGAGAAGCAGTGCTCCTGCGCACGCTGACCCTCACTCTGCTCCAAAGCCCGCAGCAGCCCAGGCCCCATCTCCAGCTCCCTGACCGACACCAGTGGTGCCACACTAGCTTTCCTACTTGGGCCTCCATCAAGGTGTGTCCGTCTGCTACTTTCAAAGACGATTCAGAAAGGAGCAAAAGAGGGCTTTCCCTGTGGCACAGTAGTTAAGAATCCGCCTGCCGATGCAGGGCACACGGGTTCGAGCCCTGGTCCGGGAAGATCCCACATGCTGCAGAACAACTAAGCCCGTGCGTCACAACTACTGAGCTGCGTGCTGCAACTACTGAAGCCCACGCACCTAGAGCCCGTGCTCCGCAAGAAGAGAAGCCACCGCAATGAGAAGCCCGCGCACCGCAATGAACAGTAGCCCCCGCTTGCCACAACGAAAGAGAGCCCACGCGCAGCAACGAAGACCCAATGCGGCCAAAATTTAATAAAAATAAAAGAAAGGACCAAAATAAAATGCTGGTTCTCTCCAAATGGATCTGCCTGAGTCAGGAGAGAATGGAGGACAGACAGGCTTGTCTTACACACAAATAGTTATTTAAGAACCGACTGCTAGGTCAGATTGTTGTGGAAGAGAGAACAGGGGTCTCCGGAGTTTTCCCACAAATAAAATTTCCATGCGTGTGTGCGCACGGGTGGAAGCCGGGGTGCTTCTGTAGGGCGCCAGTTCAGCCACCCATCAGTGTGCACACGGCCTTGACCCTCACAGCATCCCGAGTGGCGCGGGGGCTCCCGGCCAGACTGGTCTTAGCAGCATCATTTCTCACAGTGTTTGGGAGAAACTTGTCTTAAGTCATGAAGCTAGGGCAGAATCCTCTCTTTAGAAACTGTTTATGAAAGGGATAAACAAGTGGGCAGAAATACAGGTGATCCTGAACAACGTGCTTCCAACGGCGTGGGTCCGCTTGTACCCAGAGTTTTTTCAACAGTAAATACCACAGCACTACGTGATCCGCAGAACCGTGGATAGGAAGGGCCAACTCTTTTTATACCCAAGTTGCCCACTACGCGGAGGGCTGCACCTCTGACCCTCGCGTTGTTCAAGGGTCAACCATGTATCTGTATCATTTCTCGGGCTCTCCCACTGCAGACAGACACACAAAAAGATAAAGATAAGCAAACACTCACTCCTCATCCTTGATGGAGTCATAGCAGGAATCGCAGACACGGACCTGGAACTCAAAGCCCATGACAGGGTAGCTGGAGCGCTTGCTGCTGCACTTCCCACAGACAGCCTGGCCACACTTCCTGCAGTGATGCTTCGGGTACCAGAAGGAGGAAAAGGAGGCGTTTACCTTTTGCTCTAATGCCTGTGGCCTCACTTCAGAGTAGGGGAAATGGGATTGGGACAATGTGCCTCGAATTATAATCACCCCCAATTCAATGTATCGATAAACACGCCAAAGGCGGACAATATCAACACCCGTTGAGGATTTCCAAATATCTTTGCTTTGTTATTGGTCAAATGCTAGTTTTTATTCATTCATATTATCTGCCTAGGCGACCATAAACAACATTGTTAAGACCAAGTTCAAGCTCATTCAGGAACCCAAATGGCTAGAGACTTCAGGAGGGAAAAATTGATTCCTATTACAGAGAAAAGTTTTGATATAAAGTTTTAAATGTAATTTGCCCTCATTAAGAAACAGATAACCATAATCATGTTGTACTATTTCTTTTAATCTTTCAAATGGTGATTCTGGAGATAAGCACCAAGAACATTCCAAAATAGGCCAGTTATTATTACTAATTTTAACATACATATATTTTTAAACCACTAAAAGCCTTGTGACCCACACCTTTCCTCTCTCTACCACTAGTTGTTATAACTCATGAGATTAAAATGAATCCTTCACGTTTTGTTTGAAGTAGAGACCACTTCACACATCAGTTACCACCAGACATGCGTCGTGACAACTAGGCCAAGGGTGCAATGTGGGTGCTATTTCCAAGCATCAGGATGTTATGAACGCTAAAGCAATTTCTGCACTGCCCGCCAGTCTCACATCTGGCCTTGCTGTAGAGTAGCTTCATAAGTAAAGTCAAAGAAAGTTTATTAACACACACAAACTTTCCGTCAATCCCTTAGAGAGGTGCGACCAGTAATAAAAGGAATAAAATTGGCATTCTTGTTTACTTCACCTGCACAAATTCATATTCAGTCTGAATGAGTGGCTACCTTCAAGGCTACTGTAGAACTATGTTTTTGGTAGAACTTTAGTGTTACGTGACTACCCAGTGGTAAGCGCTTCCTTGAAATCTGTAGGCTATTTGGGACATGTATCTTCGATTAATTAAAAAAAAAAAAAAAAACAGGACGTACTTGAAACATGCTTAATAGAAATGCTCCAGGTACACTTACGTGGAACAATTTATGAATAATCTAAAATTCTTGGTGTCAGAGTATTCCAGTGAGGGCTAATCTGTTACTTGTCTGTTTGTGCAAGCATTAGGCTTAGATGCCCTAGTTCATTCTGATTTTGTGCTGGGCTAGTACAAACACTGACTTTAACAAGTAATAGTCCTAAACTCAAAACTCTTTCATCTACTGACGAATGGGCTCCCAGGGTTTTCTGTGCGTCCCGGCTTTTCCAGTGCAGGACAAGCAGTGGCATAGTCTGCTAACAGTCTCACTATTACCCGGGAAAGGCCCTGCTCCCGGTCAGTCACACAGTGATGGTGACACCACAAAGGTAGGAATCAACAGCATTTACAGGGAAAAGTGCGATTCCAAACAAAATGACAGATTAATCATATAAATAACAAAACACGTAATTAACCCAGTGATGACTCGATGTTGGCTACTCACCTGTCTCAACCCCAGTGTCTTCGTGTCCCACATCTGCTTTATGTTCCAGAAAAAGGGCTGCTCACATTTCTGACAAGAATCACTTTCTAACCACTGAGGAGCCTGGGGGAGGAGAAAGTGAAACCCAACATGTGAGCATCTGCCTGTTTACCCTGAGTTGTCAGAAATTAATACAACAGTTCCAGACCTTGGTGGGGTTATCCTTTTTTCAAACTCTTCAATATATTATAGCTGTTGCCATATTCAATATTATGTTTGTGTTTTGTTTTGTTTGTGTTTGTGTTTCTTTATCATTTTTGCCATGTTTTCAGGATTGTTTGCCATGTTTTCAGGATTGTTCATTTTTAATCTATCGATAGGAGGGAGTAGTTCATTTTGCATTATGAACTCTTAAAGAGTTGTCTTCATACACTTATTTTTTATGCCCAAAGTTTTTAAAGTTGTTTGATAACTATATCCAGTTGAGCAAAAACCTTTCTTGCAGAACCTGACGAACTACCACTTGGGAAGGCTTGTGGGGTCACAAGGTGACCAACAGGAGATCTTTGGGGCGGGGCATCGTGTCAGACAGATGAGCTGCCCCGCCCCCATTCCCAGCTCCCGGGAGTGGTGCCCGCACAGCCAGCCTGCGGACCTCCATTCGAGCTGTGATCTCTCTGCACTGCAATTCTTTTTTTTTTCTTTTTCTTTTTTTTTTTTTGCGGTACACGGGCCTCTCACTGCTGTGGCCTCTCCCGTTGCTGAGCACAGGCTCAGCGGCCACGGCTCACGGGCCCAGCCGCTCTGCGGCATGTGGGATCTTCCCGGACTGGGGCACGAACCGGCGTCCCCTGCATCGGCAGGCAGACTCTCAACCACTGTGCCACCAGGGAAGCCCTGCACTGCAATTCTTTATGCACATATCCTCCCCCCAGCCCCTTCGACTAACCTATGAATTATTCACTGGTCTTTTCATCTTTAAATACGTTCAGCCTGTCACAGGGTAGGCACTCAATGAATTTTTGTTGAAACAGGGCAATTAGGCCTCAAAATTACTTCACTGAGAACTTAGAAAATATTTCTCTAAACAAAACATTACAAGTTGTATTCGATTACAAGATGAACCTGCTAAAAGCCTATTTAACCTCAATCATGTATCGTCATATACGTGCAGTAAAAATAGAAAATACTATTTCCATAAAATTAAACCAAAGGTCATGAAGTAAGAAATAATCTGTTCTTGATCTTGAAAGTTAACACTCAAGAAAAATGTATCTGATAAGAGGAGATGATGGGAGAACCACAGGAACTGACCTACACTGATCCTTATAAAATATGCAGTGAAGATGGTCAGCTTTACAGAGATTCGAAAGGGGACTTTTGGTGGTTTAAAGAATGAGTTTCCCAACTTCTTTTTTTGTTTCCTATTTCATCAAAACTTTTGGCTTTCCTATTCCTTATTTTAGATACGGCACTAGAAATATTTCTATGTAGGACAGCCATTACAAAGGTCTTTCTTTCAGGGGTTGGGGGGTAAGGCACTCACAAACAGAATCAAGAGGGCTGAGACAGAGGAGAGGTTTCTTTAAATAACTGCGCTAATGTTGGAAATGGGAAGGGAGGACAGAAAGAGTGATAAAGAGATGTGCACCTCCGTGAGGAAGATTACTACTTGATGTAGAATTACTTGTTTCTGTGACCAGGGAAGAGAGAAGGTGGTTTGAAAACACTGCCTGTGAACAATGTTCCTGAAGGAGAAACGGTGATTACAACGACACGACGGGCCCTGCTGCCAACAACGTGGGGACATTAAATCGCAGGGGGAAGGAAAGCAGGGGCCACTGTCTAGTCTTATGTTTGTGACACACGCCAGTGTAACTCCTGCAATACCACCCACGTGAGGAACAGTCACGTGGGACAAGATGAACGCAAAAACGTATTCACGGCAGTGATATTCAAGTATGAGTATACGCTGCATCCTGTGAGGATTAAATGAGGCAACATTGGTGAAGTGTTTTGCATAATGCCTGGTATATACAAAGGGCCTTATAAGTCCAGCAGTGTGTGCCAAGGGTTTTATATGCCTTATTTTGCTTAATTTTCAATACAACCCTAGGAGATACAGAGCGACATTCTCCCCATTTTACAGGCAAAGAAACTGTGGCTCAGAGATTGAAGCGACTGTCCATGGTTGGTTAGTGGGTAGAGCTCCCAGTAGACCCAAGAGTCCAGCCCACAGCCCTGCACTCATCCACTGTGCTCTACATAGCCTCTGGACATGGTCCTCTTCACTTTAACATGTCAGGGTCTCCAAACATGTTTCTGGAGTATGACAACCAATGGGGACTGAGTTCCTGCCCTCAGGAAGCATGCTTCTGCCTAAGGGTTAGGAAAGAATATTACTCTGCTGAGCTGGAGGGCAGAGGGGCATGAGGGAAGAAAAAATATGCTTAAAATAATTTGAAATAACAAATGAAAAAATGAACTCAGAAATAAACAGACTTTTTGGAACATATTTTTTGATATAAGAAATACGCATAACTTTGTTTCTTTTAATAGAATTGTGTTATGGTGTAAGCTATCATGAACCATCCTATTAAATGCTTATTCTCTAAGGAGATAAAGTTTTCTTTTATGCTGAGAAGAGCTGAAGAGAACATTAATCAAGTTTTCTGTTTCACTCTCTTTTCTCCATCTTGTTCCATCTGCCTAATCTGGACAAAAGATGATGTAACAAGAATAACCCCGATGCACTGCTGCTGCTAATTGGTGCGCTCATCTACTTTGCACTAATGTATAAAATAGTATCCATTCTGTGATCGACTAGCTCCAAATAAAGTTCTCATTTCAAGAGGATTCATTCTAATTATTGTTACTTGCTCATTTATGTTTCATGCCTACTTCCAGAAAGGAGTCCCTTTGATCACAATCTGGCAGGGAGGTAGATCTGCTTCCAACCAGCCAGTGTGGTGGTCGACAGCCACTGTAGGCTGGGGACACTCCACAGTCAGTGTTTCCAGGTGACTCAGAAAGAAATTCCAGCAAACACTGTGGGGCTAGAGAATCTGGGATTAATCCTCTAGGCCTGTGCCTTAAGAAGTCCTACAAATTGTCCAAAACCCTAACTCAAGTTCAGAATCTAACAGATCGGAGGTTGCTTACTTTTGCACTAATATTTACTCAGCTGGTAGAAACAAAACAAAGCAACAAAAAAAACCCCCAAAAAACCTACTAAAAATGCTGCATCTTTTTTGACATAATTTTCTTTCCCACCAATACTGCCAACCACTGAGACAGAAAAGCTCATAGAGCAAAACGTATTACCAGCTGTGTGCTCGTGATTTGGGGTACTCTTCCATAAGTGACTACAAGGAAAAGATTGACCCCCACAGGAATGACAGGACTGTCTTTTCTTTCCCTAGAGGCACAAATAAACTCCACACTCACATAACCTTGAAGGTAAGAACTCTGCTTCTACTTTCTACATCTAAAAGAACTTACCAAGGATGAGAACAGTGGATTGAAATCCAAGCGGTTAAACCCTTACAAGAGCCACTAGTAGCATCAGGCCCCAATGGTCTCCTCCCTCATGATCCAGGGAGCACAGAATAAGATTGAAAAACAACAGGCCGAGTCTAGGAAATAGAACAGTATACTAGCTGCCACTGTTGCATGTAACTAGCAGATGATAAATATAAAACGCAGCTCAAATAAACCTTTGCAAAGAAAGTATTACACATTCTGTAATATCGAGCCAATGTTACATATGTTTAATAATAAGTTACTCTAAGCCTTACCAAAAGATCTTTAGAAAATTCAAAAAGGGAAATTAACCAGCAGACATGCAATCAAGATTTCCTCTATATGACTTGTCTTACAAGGTCACTAAAAAACTAGCAATCGGTACTTCTCCAGATGACGGACCGCATTTTATCATTTATACGGTAGTCTGTTTCCTTCACTAGATTACAAGCTTCTTGCAGGTATGAATCTTTGTGTATAAAGCATGGTAATCATAAAGTCTGGAAGTGAGTAATATTGCTATTTCTTTTTTTTTTATAAATTTATTTTTATTTATTTATTATTTTTGGCTGTGTTGGGTGTTTGTTGCTGTGTGCAGGCTTTCTCTAGTTGCGGCGAGCGGGGTCTACTCTTCGTTGTGCGCGGGCTTCTCATTGCGGTGGCTTCTCTTGTTGTGGAGCACGGGTTCTAGAGCACGCGGGCTTCAGTAGATGTGGCGCGTGGGCTCAGTAGTTGTGGCACATGGGCTTAGTTGCTCCACAGCATGTGGGATCTTCCCAGAGCAGGGCTCAAACCCTTGTCCCCTGCATTGGCAGGCAGATTCTTAACCAATGCGCCACCAGGGAAGCCCGCTATTTCTTTTAAATAGACTGAACCCCTTTGATTACGCCCCTAGGGTATACTAAAGATGCAAGTTTATTCACTGAGAATCAGACTCACAAGTAATTAGAGGCAACACAAAGCAGACGCATGCAGGGGTGGGTGGGAATGCTGCATTCACGCCTGGCGTCCACCACAGAGGTGTGCAGCATACTGACCTACACGCTGCGTAAAGGACAGCACCTGAAACACATCATGTGACATCATGCAATACAGTATGTACTGCAATGCAGTATCATTTATGATGCATATGCACTTAAGTTTCCAGACTTTAGGGGTCCACGCTTTAGATGCTCAATAAATGTTTCTGAAGTTAAACCATAAGTCTTTAACACTCCTCACACTAAAATCTTCTCTGGAATCAACTCCGCTATCTACGTCACAGGTTTTAAACGCCACTTGGAAAAGACAGATAAATACCTGTGCTGGCAGAGATGAGAATGGAAATCCTGCCTGGAAATCATCTGACAATATCTATAAAAAGCATTCAGAATGCACATATCCTTGACCCAAAGGGCCTATTTTCAGAAATTTCTCTGAAATAAATAATTGAACAATCACACATGACAAGGTCAAAAATGTTCACTGCAGCATTCTTTAAAATAGAAAAAAAGACAGAGAGATTGCTTAGATAGTGTCTGTCTAAAGAATTGGAAGAGACCTTAGAAGTCATCTCATTCAACTATTTCACTTTATGGAAGAAGGAACGGAGACTCAGGGAAATTAAGGCACTTAGAACTCAGGTCTCCTGAGAAGAACACTATGTTGACATGGACTCAGTGGAACAGAAGTCAGTGGAAAATAAAAGCAGAGAACAGAGATATATTTTCCCAGAGGAGCTATGCCCCTGGTGCGTGTCTTGGGGACCCCAGGGCAGGTGTGCAACCTCGGAGCACTTCCCCACAGTCACTCCCCTGGGCATGCCAGACCGTCTCCCGTGTCCTCTCCTTGCCCTTCTCTGTGAAAATCAGCCTAAATGTTCTGGCTGTGTATATCACTTGCCCCTGTGGAAACTCTCCAATGAGTAGTGAATGCAGTGCAAAGTGACATGCAGGACCCTGTCAGCTGATAACCAGTAAGAGCTGGGACTGTCTGCACCTTGGCTGGCATCTCCGGTCACCGGGTAGAAAATCAAGAGGCAGGTTGTGGGAGCTCTCCTGGTCAGCCCTGCCTTGCCCTCTCTTACCTCCTCTCTGCTAACATCCATGTTCCACACTGCAATTCTGCCGTCTGAGGAACAGGAGACCAGCTGCCTCGTGAGCTGAAGGTAACACAGCGACTGCACCCTGTCACTGCAAACAGCACACACAACAGTTACGTGTCTCAATGTGGAAAACACAGACATCATCTTCATGCAGGCTCAAATCTCTCCCCTCGTTGGAATCAGCAAATGACATTTTATCATTGATGATCTGGATCCCAGTATAAACTTTAATTGGCATTCTATAACTTATTATACAGAATAATAGTTCTATGAAATAAACACTAATCAGTCATTAAGGACTGCAGGTCAGAGTCCCCCCACCAGCAGCCGGCAGGCGCCCTATTTGTGGGGAGACGCTAACTCCACGTTTTCCCACACTGCCATCTTGTTTACAGCAATACAATCTCACCTCAAGAAACAAGAAAAATCTCAAATAAACAATCTAACCCTACACTTAAAACAACTAGACAAAGAAGAACAAAGAAAACCCAAAGTCAGTAGAAGGAAAGAAATCATAAAGATCAGAGCAGAAATAAATGAAATAGAAAGGAAGAAAGCAATAGCAAAGATCAATAAAACTAAAAGCTGGTTCTTTGAGAAGATAAGCAAAACTGATAAACCCTTAGCCAGACTCATCAAGAAAAAAAGGGAGAGGACGAAAGCAATAAAATTAGAAATGAAAAAGAAGAAATCACAACTGATGCCGCAGAAATGCAAAAGGATTATAAGAGACTACTGCAAACAACTATATGCCAGTAAAATGGACAACCATGAAGAAATGGACAAATTCTTGGAAAGGTACAATTTTCCAAGACTGAACCAGGAAGAAATAGAAAATATGAACAGACCAGTCACAAACACTGAAATTGAAACTGTGATTAAAAATCTTCCAACATGGGGCTTCCCTGGTGGCGCAGTGGTTGAGAGGCCGCCTGCTGATGCAGGGGATGTTGGGCCCGTGAGCCATGGCCGCTGGGCCTGTGCGTCCGGAGCCTGTGCTCCGCAGCAGGAGAGGCCGCAGCGGTGAGAGGCCCGCGTACCACAAAAAAAAAAACAAAAAAAAAAAACAAAAAAAATCTTCCAACAAACAAAAGTCCAGGACCAGATGGCTTCACAGGCGAATTCTATCAAAGCATTTAGAGAAGAGCTAACACCGATCCTTCTCAAACTCTTCCAAAATATAGCAGAGGGAGAAACATTCCCAAATGCATTCTACAAAGCCACCATCACCCTGATACCAAAACCAGAAAAAGATATCACAAAAAAAGAAAATTATAGACCAATATCACTGATGAACACAGATGCAAAAATCCTCAACAAAATACTAGCAAACAGAATCCAACAGCACATTAAAAGGATCATATACCATGATCAAGTGGGATTCATCCCAGGGATGCAAGGATTCTTCAATATACACAAATCAATCAATGTGATACACCATATTAACACACTGAAGGAGAAAAACCATATGATCATCTCAATAGATGCAGAAAAAGCTTTTGAAAAAATTCCACACGCATTTATGATAAAAACTCTCCAGAAAATGGGCAGATAGGGAACCTACCTCAACATAATAAAGGCCATATATGATAAACCCACAGCAAGCATCATTGTCAATGGTGAAAAACTGAAAGCATTTCCACTAAGATCAGGAACAAGACAAGGATGTCCACCCCCACCACTCGTAGTTAACATAGTTTTGGAAGTTCTAGCCACAGCAATCAGAGAAGAAAAAGAAATAAAAGGAATACAAATTGGAAAAGAAGAAGTAAAGCTGTCACTGTTTGCAGATGACATGATATTATACGTAGAAAATCCTAAAGATGCCACCAGAAAACTACGAGAACTAATCAGTGAATTTGGTAAGGTTGCAGGATACAAAATTAATGCACAGAAATCTCTTGCATTCCTATACACCAACAACGAAAAATCAGAAAGAGAAATTAAGGGAACATTCCGATTTACCATTGCAACAAAACGAATAAAATACCCAGGAATAAACCTGCCTAAGGAGGCAAAAGACTTGTACTCAGAAAACTATAAAACACTGATGAAAGAAATCAAAGATGACATAAACAGATGGAGAGATATACCATGTCCTTGGATTGGAAGAATCAACATTGTGATAATGACTATACTACCCAAAGCAATCTACAGATTCAATGCAATTCCCTATCAAACTACCAATGGCACGGTAGTTACTACCAATGGACTAAGGACGAAGAAAACCCTGGCCTCTATTTTTGCTACAGAACACCAGACACTCAGGCCTCACGGAAAAGCAGTTAGAAGCAGACTGAGTGAGCCCTATCAAACAGGGCTCACTGTCTGCTAAAAGACGGGGTTTGGAGAAAGTAGTCTCAGAATACTAACACCTCCCCCGACCTGCCCCAACTCAGATTCGTTCCCAAACCCTCACAAACAGTCACGCACTGGTGGCCCTGGAGCAAGAGTGTGCGGCCTTTCCTTCCTCCGATGTCCCACATGATGATGCTGTTGTCAGAGGCTCCTGAGAAGAGTAACCGTTGAATAGGGTCCCACCAGAGGCAGGCGACACTACCTAGGCGTGAGAGAGGGAGGCTAAATGTAACTCTACATCAGGACATACACATCTGAGGCAGAAGACCGAACGAGGACCAGCTGAGTCTTTAAGTAAAAATCTATTTTCGTTGTACAAAAGGGTGTTCAACACTTTATCGCGAGTCACAGAGAAGGCACAGCACATCCGCTGTCCCAAGCTACAAGATTAGGATTTTCAGTTGTATATCAAACTGCTTTGAACACAAATGTGTTTAAAGAAGATTTCCCCTGTCTATACCAAAAAATTATAAAATAGCTGTATATGAGGGTTAGTTCAGAAAAAGCTTTTGAAGAAAAAAAAAAAAGCTACCAATATCTAATGAGAAAAGGCAGTGAAGTTTTCTGTGGTTACCTTATATAAGATTAAAATCTAGATTATTCTAGGGCTCTGGGACCTTGCAGGTGTCTTACCGCAGGATGCCTACGTTTAAGAAAACTGAATTAAGTATCTCAGAAAAAAAAAAAAAGAGATGCAGGTGTACCATACAATTATGCCAGAGAACTTAGGTAAAAAAATCCAAACTCTACATTTCATACTCTATATTGGCTAAACTTATTAAATTTGATATCCTTGGGAAAATCTTTCTTTCTACAGATTTCTCTTTCAACAGATCTCTTCATTGTTCCATTGACTGCTGCTTGCCTAGAAAAAAACTATTAATAAACTTAATAAAATTGAACCAGTCACACAAGCTAATAATATTTTTGGTGGGTATACGGAAAACTGATAAAGCCACATTCAGAAGCAACCAACAGAGACTAGTTTCTCACAGAAGCTTTAACAAAAGTGAAAAAAGAAGTATTGTGCAAAACTGGCTTCAGGGATCAACTTTGCAGAAATCCTGACCCTGTTTGATCCTATGCCCCATGCACTTCAGCTAGAGGCCTAACAGCAGACAAGCAAGGTCTTTCTACATGAACACAGCTAAGTAGTTATCAGAACCCACTCTGCCCTTAGCAACCCAGAGAATACTTAACAGCATGGGGATCACGAGACCATTAGTCATAAACAGAAAGTGGTTTCTGCAGGGCCTGTACTTTCCTGCCTAAATCTATTCAAACTTACTGCCCTTCTCTCTCCCTTTTCCCCTTCTTGGTCCCTGATCTGATAGACTCGGTTTTACATAAATAGATTAGCTATGGAGGACATTTAACTTGTTACACTTAAAAACACTATTTTCCTAAATAAGTCCATCATTAATTCCTTCAACAAACCCCCAGTTCTTCGATGTGAACCAGATGGCCTCAGAGCTTCTAATCTGTTACTCAATATAGTCAATTGAGTTTTAAAGCCTTTCCACAAAGGCTGGCCAACTCACCACCCTACAGAAATAATAAAATTCCACCCAGTCATTCTTTTCCCGCGGTCCCTCCCCCGGGGATGTTTCCCAAGTAGAGACAGAACCAGCTCATACATTTCTTCTAATGGTACTCACCTATTACATCTTGCTTGGTGTCCTAGAAAGTGACAAATTTAAAACAGTAATAACAACATTCTTCCAAAGGTCTCGCCATTTATAAGACATTTGAAAAGGTCTTCAAAAATAATTTAATTTAAAAGGTAAACAAAATAGAAAGTATTATCCACACAAGCAATCTAGAAGGGATTTGGACAACACGAAACCCTACCCAACACCCTGCCTTCACTTAGTTTTCACTCTGAGACCTTTTGAGATTTAATTCCCCTATCTGGCCGATCGAATTGAAATCTGACAGATCATAAGGAGGTGATCATTTGTGAAACCACAGAGCTGAGAACTAAATTTGGATGCCCGAATTAGGTGAAAAACGGCGGTGATTATACAGCCTACCTTCATGTCCTTTAAGGGTGGTAATAACTGAACAGGAGCTCTGTTCAAGCTTCAGCAGGCTGATCTGTCCAGAACAGTCGCCGACAAAAGCATACTGAGTATCAAAGTCATATCTGTGGAGAAGCAGTCAAGGACGTATAACACAATCCATCTCAAAGTTATAAAGAAGAAAATGTACATTCTAAAGAGAATAAGCAACACACCTAAAACTACGAGAAAAGAAATACCCAACTGAAAATCATACAACATGTAAATATTGAAGAAAAAGAACGTTTTAAGCTAGAATTATCAGGAAAATTAATATTCATTCATTCAACAAGAATTCACTGAGTAGCTGTTACTATTCCAACCAGTATCCTGGGAACTGGCAACAAAAAAGTTAAGAGCTGATGGAGAAGACAGACATAAAAACAAGTGATTACAAGCAAAGTATAACAAAGTGTTAAAAAGTAAAACGCTCAATAATGAAAACAGCTAAAAAGAACTGGAAGAAAACTGCTTTCATGAAATATCTCTGGAAATGGTGTAAAACTGACAGCAAATATGGACACGAACCCATCTTTCTGGGGGGCCTAGATGATGTAGCATTAAGTGAACAGGATGGTTTAAATTGCTGTGAAGAGTTTTAATTTTAATCAAAAAGGCAGTCATTTGGGGTACTAGTAAACTTTAAATTTAAAAATATATTAACTATTGGCAACAACTCATTACTTTCTTGGTCGCTTAATGGCCATGGACATTTGTGGCAAATCAGTAGTTTACACACAATAAGATAACTACTATTTTAATTCCAAAACATAGATCAAAAGGAGGACCACAGGCTGGGCAATGATTATGTGATTCGGTGCCATTTTCTATCAATCCATACGAAAGCCAAACACATAACAGAAAAACTTATTTAGCACTTGATACATCTGAGTAGTCTTCCCTTGCTTGATTCTAAAGCATATGGTCTATTTTAAATATCTCATGCTCTGCATTCATTTGTAGCACACATTGTTTTATAAAGGCTTTCAATGGAAGAAAAGAGTTTTACTACACCAGCCGTCCAACTCTCAAAGAGAAACTACTGCGGGGCATTTGTCTGTTGCTGACAGCCTTGACCTTGCCATCACTAAGATACACAGCTACCACAGGCAGCCTTAAGCAAGAGCGAGCTCTACGTGAAACAAATCCCAGAGTAGTAGAACAATTTGAGAGTGGCAATTCTGTAACATCTGGGGTATCCTGAGGCAACTTTGAGAGTACTATAAGGATTATGAACCCTCTCCAAACACACTGTAGCCCATTTATGAACTCCAGGGTCACAGACCCTTCTTATGTTCTCCTGTGGGGTCTGCAAAGAAACCATCACCAGAATAGTCGTTCTTTTCTTTCTTTCTTTATACAACAGAAAGTCTTTTCTTTCACTTTGAAAAGCAAAGGAGTGAAGGGAGGGGTCTGCATTAATGAGGTTTAGGTTTTCCGAGATTTTGTATTAAAACACCTAGAGCACATCCCAGCAGAGAAGAGCAATTCATTTAGTTATTATCTTTAATAAACCGACTTTATAGCAAAAAAGCAGAGACAGAAATTCTTAGATTTTATGTGAAATATGTAGGAATCATTCAGTCTTCGGATCTCAATCAGCAATTTCCAAGCAGATTCAAAACTAACTACTGAGACCGGGAGGCGCTGGGCGGGGAAGGATACTGCAGACACGAAGTCCAGGAAGTGGAGAAGTGCCTCCCAAGCATGTTCCCGCTGCGGGTGCACATCCAGCTGACACACTTGTCGTGGCCGGTGCTGATCACCCACTCTGTGGCCAGGCTGAAGATAATCGCGGTCACCCGGTTCTGATGAGCTGTGGGGACAGAAAGGGAAAGTCTGCGCCCTTCAGGAAGAAATGTGACCTTTGGAGTCCAGTCTCCGTGGGTGTGAACTGAGGCTCCCCTTCTCCACTTGGTCGGCCTGCAGACTCACAGGCTCAGCAGTCCTATCCCGGGGATGCCCGCACTCCAAACAGGCTGCAGAGCATCTGCCCGCCCCAACCCAAGATCTATCGCAGGCTCTCCGTGGCCCTGCCCTCTGCCTCCCTACAGGGAAGACCATCAAAAGCTACAAATCATTACAGAGTAAGGCTCAAGAGGGATTCAAGTAATATATTAGAGAACTGATTAAAAAACACACATAGGGCTTCCCTGGTGGCGCAGTGGTTGAGAGTCCGCCTGCTGATGCAGGGGACACGGGTTCGTGTCCCGGTCCGGGAAGATCCCACATGCCGCGGAGCGGCTGGGCCCGTGAGCCATGGCCGCTGAGCCTGCGCGTCCGGAGCCTGTGCTCCACAACGGGAGATGTCACAACAGTGAGAGGCCCACGTACCGCAATAAAAAAACAAAAAAACAGAACAAAACAAAACAAAACCACACATACAACTCTCAATGAGTTCCATATGGAAAACAGCAGTCTTATCTCAACAGAATAGGTTTGTTTTTTATTGTCTATACCTTTAGTGTTTTGACTCTTTAGAAAACACTGGCATTGTAAGAAAGGGCAACTGAAATTTTCTGAAATTAACTTTTTATTATTTTTAAGATGAAGCATTTGTAAAGTTCTGCATCCCAAAGCAATAGCTGAGAATAGGAAGGTGTTCTATTACCTAACTTCTAGAATATTTGTATTTCCAGGTCAACTGCAAGCCACACCAGGGCAGTGACCTGTCTACTTTATCTGGAACAGGATCTTGCATGCAGCTGGTGTTTAATAAATGCCCAGTTTGATGAATGAAGTCAGAGGCTAGACAGAGACACCTCTGACCTTGCTCTCAGCTGTGTAGGTTGCTTCAGAAAAACGGAAGGGCTCTCATAAATTAATCAGAAAAAATCAGAAAATACTACAACTTCCAGGAAATACGGGCAAAATCATGAACAGATATTCATAAAACATGACAAATGGCCAACATTAAATAAAGCCTAAATAATTTTAAAACAGAACTATTTTTGACTATCAAACTGGCAACACACATTTATAAAGATCAATATAGACTTAATGAACAGGCACTCTCAATCACCACTCATTAAAAATTTACACTATTGCTGGAAAGAGTTTTGCAAAATAAATCCAGAGTATTAAAAAAAGTTTTAAAGTTTGACCCAGTTATTCTACTTTTAGTAATGTCTTAAATAGAAGTAATCAGTTACAGAATTAGAGTAAGAGTAACCATCAAGGACACACACACACACACACACACACGTGTATATACATATATATGAAATATACACACTCACAGATATGTATACACACATATACACACCATCATATATGTTAGTATGTGTTATCAAAAAATGGAAGCAGTATACATTTTCAAAAACAGAGGAATGGTTAAATTAAATCTGACACATGCACCCAATGGAATACTATACAAAATTTCAAATGTTAATGAGCAGGAAAAGGATGGTAAATAACTCTGAAGAGCTAATAGCCTCCCACATAACTGGGGTAACAACACTTTTAAAAAGTTAATGTGAAAACCTAATTTTGATCATAAGACATGGTATTCTAGTTGTGTGTGTGTGTATTATAATTACCTGGGTAGGTCTTGATAAAGTTCATTTTATTAAAATCTTCAGAAACGTGAAATTCCTAAAAGTAAACACATGCAATAAGAAAACAGTTATGGTTTTAAAAACAACAGGACCTTAACTTTCAAAAGGAAGTAAAATCCAAAAATGGCCATCACCAGCCTTGGGACTCAAGATTAGCTACATAAGAACAATAGGGAATTGCTTCTTGGTCCTGTCCTCGGGTTACCATTTCTTTTGGAACCAGACAAGTAAAGAAAGTGCTGCTGACCAGCACAGCATTTTTGTCCAATTCTTCCTCTACAAATGAGTGCTCTGTATTTCCTCTCCCTCTGATTGCAAAGGAGGCATCTTGTTAATTTTGCTCTCTTGGCTTCACTAGAATTTCCTCAAGATGACACATACAAAGTAAAACTACAAAGACCCATTACTAACAGAATTCTCAGCACTAGTGAAAATAAGGCATTGGGTATCTGAGGCAATAGAATAGGAAAATTATGTATATTTAATATATAAACACACACTGAAAAGGAAATTTAGACACTGTGGGTGTTTTTTTTTTTTTAATACTCCTGTATCTTCCAAAATTTACATAGACTACGTAATACTTTATAACTAGGAAAAAATTAAAAGTACATATTTCTTAATGAGAAAATGAGCCTCAGCATAAAACTGAGAAGATAAAACTCTAAAGAAAAAGCACTAATTAAAAATTCTATTGATCAGCGCTAAACTGATAAGTCCTTAAGGGTCTTGATAACATGGACATCATGAATTGCTGATTGGTCAGGATGAAAAAAAAGAAAAAAACAACCCACAAAAGAATACTGATTCCTTGTCCTCCATCTTGGTTTTTTACAAAGTACAAAAATGTATCAGCATTTTATACATACTAATTTCTACTCGGGGGGAAATCAATAGATTAATACTAATTAATAATAAATTGAATATACATTGCCCCTTTCCACTGAGGAGCTATAAGAGTTTTTATATGCCATCCTATAACTGCAGAGAGTACCCTTGAACCACGAGCCACAAGAATGGTCCCTAGAGAAATAAATGCATGACCACTACCACTACTGGAGCAGGCATTTGAGGCTTGCACTCGTGGCTTCTCGTTATATTATGTGTGCACACATCGCCACGATATTCCTATAAAATCTTCAGAGGGAGAAAAACGAGACCACTGGCATTTATTACTACACAACGTATACACAGCAGCCCCAAGCAGGTGGGCGCTGACCCCCAAGCCCGCAGCTCCCCAGCCCTCACCAGCTGCCCACCGTTGCGTGAACTGCTTAAGCAGAGAGCCTGTCCTTTCTCTTGGCTTTTCTTTCTTGGCCCTTAAACACACTCAAGGCTTCTTCTCCTTTACTTTAAAAAGCAAAACAAGCAAACAAAAAACAACAAAATTCTCTTAACGATACTAAAACTTTCTTCATCCCCTCCTCAGCCAGCACCTTCTCTACAGATGAGCCCACACTCACCACGTTCAGGGTCTCTAGCTGCTCACCCCGGTCGCTCTTGAATCCACCGCACCGCAGGGCACCACCCCCGCTGCATGGGAAGGGTTCTCCCTGCAACCACCAGCTGCTGTCTAGCTGCCAGTCCCAAGGTCGTGTCTCTGCCCTGATCTTAGGCCCTCTTCCCACATGGCCCATTCCGTCTCTGTCTCCCCTGTGGGTTCCCAAACCCCTGACTTTCTCTTAAACGTTGATATTCCCCAGGGAACATGACCTTGGCCCTCTGCTCTTCTCATCGTACCCGCTACCCCTAATTGACACCAGCCACAGGCGTGGTCTCCACTGAGACCTAAATTGGGAGGACTCCCAACCCCAGCCCAGGCCAACCCCTTGGGCACATGAATCCAACTGTCAAAACTGAACCTGTCACCTTTCCCCTCAATATCAGCGTGTCTTCTGTCTCAGGGAGCAGCTAACCGTTCACCATCATCTTGGCTAGAAACTGGACGCCATCTTATCAGCACTGCTCTCTATTAAACACCTACATCTAATCAAACACCTTCCACATATCGCCACACTAAGCAAACAAACAGACACCTGACCGTTCCATCCTCCCCCACTTGATGCTCTTCAGTGGCTCCCCATCATGCAGTGATTCCCTAATGCACTCGATCCTAAGGGTCACCGAAAGGACTTGCTAAAATTCAGATCCCCAGGCCACTCCCTAGTGCTTCTGAAGCTGTGGGTCTGGCATGGAGCCAGGCAACGTGAATTTCAGTAAGTCCCCTAAATGAAAAATATGACTAACTATGCAAGCTTGGGAAGCTTGGCTTACACGATGTAGTCCAGGCTCCTTAATGCACACTCAGGATCACCATTTCCCCTTCCTTCCTGGCTACCTTCCTCATCAATCCCGCTCCTAAATCAGTCATTCAGGACTCAGGCCTGGGGCCTGTCTTTTCTCATTCTCTTCCCAGGTGATCACAACCATTCTTTTTTTTTTTTTTTTTTTTTGCGGTAGCAATGAAAATTTTTGCTCCTCTTTATAGGTTTATCTTTTAACATCTTCTTAACTTCCCATAATATCTAGAGTATTCAGAATAATATTTTACAGTAGCAGTGAGTACGGATGAAAAGTCTTGCTTCTTCACTTGAATTTCCATTCATCTAACAAATGTTTATCAGGCATCTACTATGTGCCAGTCAGTAAATAAAATGTTTGACATTTTACTTTTTATTACAATGTTGGTTGATGAGATAGATGTCTTTGATCAATATTTAATGTTAAGTGTATAGACAGTAGACTTGTCAATGAAACAGTAGAATAAGAAGGTACAAAAGGCAGCTTTAGAAAAAACAAATGTAAGCATCTGCATTTCTATCCACTTGAGAATCTCTAAGCCTGGGGTTTCTTGTGCCGCGGAGTAGAAAAGCCTCCTGCTGCACCGCAGCAGGAAACAGGGTGACCAAATGCCCCAGGACCCTGCCATCCTGCCCTCTGGGTCAAGGCCATTCTGAGACTCTACTGAAGCAGCTCTTGCATTCATTCACCTTCCATTTTCATTTGACCACAACAAAGACTCACAATGAGACCAAACTGTGAGAATTTATCTTCCCGGACGCGCAGGCTCAGTGGCCATGGCTCATGGGCCCAGCCGCTCCGCGGCATGTGGGATCTTCCCGGACCGAGGCACGAACACGCATCCCCTGCATCGGCAGGCGAACTCTCAACCACTGCGCCACCAGGGAAGCCCGATCACAGTTATTCTTATGGTTTGAAAGATGCCCTATGTGCAGATGACTCCCCAGCCCGGGTTCCCACTGGGCTCCAGGCCTGCAAATCCAATGCCAATTCCACATTGCCATTGGTTGTCTCACTGGTATCTCAACTGTACAGCTGGTTCCTCACTGTCTTCTTTCCCTCTAAATGCCCCCTCTCCCCACATACCCCTAAGCTTTTCTCTTCTCAATAAATGATACCTCTGTCTAGCAGTTACTCAAGCCAGAAACCTGGCTGTCACCTGAGTTGCTGCCCTTCCTCCCCTCCCCACACCCAACCTGCCACAGATGTATGTCAGTCATCTGCTTCTGTCCATCATCACTGCCACTGCCCTCTCACCCAGAAGCCGACAACACCTGACGTTCCCGCCTCCACTCTTGTGGCCCCTCGATCCACTCTCTACTGAGCAGCCAGAGTGATCTTTTAAAAATGTAAATTAAATCATGCCATTCTTCTGCTGAAAACCCTGTAAGAGCTTCCCACAGATTTACAAAACTTAAAACTTCACCCAGACCTACAAGGCCCTGCATGACCTGGCTTCAGCCCACTTGTCCCATCGCCCCTCATCCTGCCCCGTCGCTCAGCACCATCCAGCCAAGATGACCCCCTTCAAGTCCTCAGACACAGAGATCTTCCTGCCTCGAGTCTTTACTTGGACTTTCACTTCTGGAAAACTTACTCTGGCTCTGCCTGTCTGTCTCCTACCTGCCCTTCAGGCCTCAGCTGAATGTCACACCCTTGGAGCGGTCTTCCTTCCTGAGGATCCTGTTTGCTACGAGCGGGTCCACACATGTCTCTGGATTCCCTCTTTCACTGTGCCTGTTCACTTCTTCACAGCACCTACCACAACCTGCAATTTGATGTTTACTTGTATATTACCTGTCCCTCCCACGAGGCCATAAGGCTCCTGAGAGCAGGGACCATGTCTACCTTCTTAATCGGCACTCTGCATGACACCTAGTGCTGAATGCAAGGCTCTCTATGACCCGCTCCAGCCATCTCTTCAGTCTTATGTGCTTCATGCTGCCAAGCTGCGTCATTCTTGTTCCCTGCGCACACCCTGACTTTGCAAACCCCTCTGTCTTTGCTCGTGCTGTCCTCTGCGTCTGGAAGTCCTCCTCCCTCTTTCCTGGTTAACTTCTAGCCATCCTCTATGACTCAGCACAGTAACAGGCTGGCCTGGCCGCTCTCCGGCCAGGTGCAGGCACCGGTCTGTGCTCTCACTGCTCTGCGTGCAGTTCTATAAAGCAGTGATACTCAAAGCGCGGTCTGCGGAGCACTGGTTCTGATGAAAGAAGCAGAGAAATAGGGAATGTGTGTTCAGAAGCCTTTACAGCAGTTTAATATTATTATGACATCCAAGCAGACAAAATCAGCAAATTTTCTCAATCAACAATGTAATACCCCAAATATCAATCCAGCAAACTAAACTCAAAGCAAACCAAAGGGAAAATAATAGAGTTGAAATACATTATCAGAGAATCGAAAAAAACAATAGAGAGTCAATTAAATCAAAGCTGGTTCTTTGAAAAAAATCAACGAAATTCACACACATTTAGCCAGAGTGGTGAAGAAAAAGAGAGAGACGACTCAAACTAACAAATTCAGGAATGAAAGGGGGAGCGTTACCATAAACCTTACAGAAAGAAAAAGGACTGTAAAGGCTGCTATGAACAATCACATGTCAACAAATTAGATAAGCTAGATAAAATGGACAAACTCCTAAAAAGACATAAACAACAAACACTGGCTGAAGAAGAAATAGAAAACCCATAACAAGTAAACAGATTAAATTAGCACTCAAAAAACTTCCCAGGATGAAAAGCAACTTTGGAAAGCAGTTTGGCAGTTCTGTAAAAAGTTAAGTACAGAGTTACCATATGACCCAGCAATTCCATTCCTAGGTGTATGTACCCAATAAAATTGAAAACTTAGGTTCACACACAAACTGTTATGCGACTATTCATAGTAATATTATTCATAATAGCCAAAAAGTAGAAACAACCCAACTATCCATCAACTAATGAATGGATAAACAAAGTGTGGTATATCTATGTAATGGAACATTATTCCACCACAAAAAGGAATGAAGTATTAATTCAAGCTACAACATAGATGAACCCTGAAAATATTATGTTAAGTGAAAGAAGCCAGACATAAAAGGATATACACCTTATATGATTCTATTTGCATAAAATGTTTAGAATAAGGAAATCTCTGAATTCAGAAAGTAGATTAGTTACTGCCAGGAGCTGAAGGAAAGGGGACTGTAGTATGACTGCTAATGGGTGAGGGATTTCTTTTTTTCGGGGGTTGGAGGAGCTGATAAAAATGTTGTAGAATCAGAGTATTAACGGTTGCATGATCTTGTAACTATACTATAAGACCAATGAATTGCACACTTTAAACTGGTGAATTTTATGGTATATGAATTACATCTCCATTAAATATAGGCATATACACACACAGTTAGACCCACAAAAATACCAACCTATAATAAACTGAAAATTTAAATATCTGGTCCTTCACCAAAGACAGTTTGAGACGTAGAGCCTCAAAGAGTTATATGAGCTGTTGGCTGAATGACTAGTCCCTAGTCTTGTTTTCCTTCCTTCTCACCTCACACACACACACACACACACACACACACACACACACACACAGAGGTACGTGCGCTCTCTCCCACACTTTCCTTGCCCCAGCCTCCTCCTTCATGGGCTCAGGGGTCAGGGCTGCTACAGGACTCACCTCCCCTGTACGAAGGCTGTGCTTTGTGGGCTAGACTGAGGACCAAACCATCAATCATGACAGCATTCAGAGCTCCATGGAACTCCAGACGGTCCCTGACTTATGATGGTTCAACTCAGGATTTTTCAGTTTTACGATGGTGCTACAGCAATGCGTCTTGAGTAGAAACCACACTTCAATTAATGTTGACCTTTTCCCAGGTGACCGATACGCCATACGATCCTCTCTCATGACGCTGGGGAGGGGCAGCCGCAGCCCCGCTCAGCCACGTGATCATGAAGGTTAACAACCAACACACTTACCATCATTCTGGACTCACACAATCATTCTGTTCTTCACTTTCAGTATGGTATTCAATAATTACATGAGATATTCAATACTTTATTATAAAATAGGCTTTGTGTTAGATGATTTTGCCCAACTGTAGGCTAATGTAAGTGTTCTGAGCACGTTTAAGGTAGGCTAGGCTAAGCTGTGATATTCAGTAGATTAAGTGTATTAAATACATTTTCTTTTTTTATTAATTAATTAATTTTTTTTTTCAGTTTTGGCTGTGTTGGGTCTTTGTCGCCGCACACGGGCTTTCTCTAGTTGTGGAGAGCGGGGGCTACTCTTCGTTGTGGTGCACGGGCTTCTCATTACTGTGGGTTCTCTTGTTGTGAAGCACGGGCTCTAGGCACGCGGGCTTCAGTAGTTGTGGCTCGTGGGCTCAGTAGTTGTGGCTTGCAGGTTCTAGAGCACAGGCTCAGTAGTTGTGGCACACGGGCTTAGCTCCTCTGTGGCATGTGGGATCTTCCCGGACCAGGGATCCAACCCGTGTCCCCTGAATTGGCAGGAGGATTCCTAACCACGGCTCCACAAGGGAAGTCCTAAATGTATTTTCAACTTATGATATTTTCAACTTACTATGGGTTTATCAGGACATAACCCCATCATAAGTCGAGGAAGATCTGTAGTTTACAATTAAGCATTAACTAAAATTAATCCATTTTTAGGCCTAACATCTGTACTGAATGAAACATTTTCTAATGCCAAACAAGCAGGCATTCATTGTTAGCTTTATTTACACTGTCCAACAGGAGGGAACACAGGAGGTCAATATAATGAATACATTCTGGAAGCTACCTACCATCACGGCTCCGTTATCCTGGCCCACAAATATCCGTCTGCTATCATGATGGTAAGCCATAGCAGAGCAAGGAGCTGCCAGAAAGACAAAGACCACGTTACGCTCAAAGCTAAGCATGTGAAGTCATTGTTCAAGGTACCTTATTAAACAGAGCTATAAAACTTAGCTTAAAAGAAAGAGGGCAAAAACACTTTATGAAAAAAAAATTACTAAAATTCTGTTGTCTTAGTGTAAAATTTTAACTTTAACAATCTTCCAAGTTACTTTTATAACTTTGGGTGAAGCGAGCTCCATAAAGTTTCATCTGATTGAAACTCCTACCTGTTTCTGGAAAGGTCTGGGGTCCAGAGTAGGTGATCTGCTACCCAAATTCCGCAGGTCATCCTGCCCCTCCCGCTTCCCCATCACAGGTAAAACAGCACCTGGCATCTGTGGAAAGAAGGGTTCCCAGCACCACAATTCCCTTTCTGTGGCAATGTGAGCAAGCTGGGAAAGCCACTTTGGGATTACTTGGGTTTTTTTCCCAATGATGAAAAAAATGTTCCGTTTTGCGATGACTCACACAACCCCAGTTTGTGGTAACGCGTTGTGAGGGGTAGACATGTTTCTTTGTCTGTAGCATGTCATGTGACTAGGGCAGCCCTGACTCTTCCCATGTATGCACCCCTCTTCCAGCATCTACATAGTCTTCTGCCAGAAAGCATGGGCCAGAGAATGAGTTTCACAAAGGAGAAACTCTAAATCGTCTCCTCTGCTAAAAATCAGAATTAAAGTGATTTAGAAAATGGAACATTTGGAAAAAGAAATGTTTGGGTTCACTTCAGCCTTAAGAATTTTAATTGACTGTGGAAAGAAATGCATGCTAGGAAATAAGCAAACAAACGAGTTTATTTTGAAATAAAACTCCTTAAAAAAAGTAAAAGAGAAAAATCTTATAAATGAAGTTACCATTTGAAAACAGTTTAAAGTTCTCTAACTACAATGGCTGATATTCTCCACAAAAGGAAGAAAATAAACTACCATACTGAACTGTACTCAAAGGCAGAAACATAGTTAGCTGTATGATCAGACTATTTCAGTTACATTCAAAAAACTATCTCGTTGAAATGTAGAGACCAAAACTGTCTACACACAAAACAATTAGAACTGACTACAAGTTTGTACACCCTTATCCACCATATTGATGTTTGAAACTACAAAGAACGATCATGTTTAAGAATTATAACCACAAAGACATATGTATCTTCATACAAAGTGCTTTTTAATAACCACGCATAAAATTATCTTTGAGAAATCAAATCATCTCTTTGATGATTTTAAAGATTCACTGTCATCACTTTTGCTTGCTTTTCAGTTGGTACTAAATCTTAATGCTTTAGTTTTAAGCTTCTTTTCAATTCTTTTTATGCCCAATCCTATAACTGTACATAAACATGTTAAAATCTTTTGCGTAAAAATTACAATGTGCTGAGTAATTTTATAACACTAGAAAATTCTCACATATTTTTTAAAAAAGCCTCGCTAGTTTGCTCTGTATCTAAAAATGTCCTGGCTTTTTTCCTAGAAGGGAAGCCTCTACTGAGATAAACTATAATTTTTTTTTTAATGTGAATGTTCACATAGTTTTTGTTTGTTTGTTTGTTTGTTTGTTTTTTAGGTACGCGGGCCTCTCACCACTGCGGCCTCTCCTGTTGCGGAGCACAGGCTCCGGACGCGCAGGCTCAGTGGCCATGGCTCACGGGCCCAGCCGCTCTGCGGCATGTGGGATCTTCCCAGACTGGGGCACGAACCCGTGTCCCCTGCATCGGCAGGCGGACTCTCAACCACTGCGCCACCAGGGAAGCCCCACACAGTTTTATAAACAAGCAAAACACAAATCATCTTTCAAATCAGTGACCTTTTAAAAAGGCACCATTGCAGTCCAAAATCATATGCTTAAAACTTTAGTTTTGTAAACAAAGGGTTTTCTGGAATATAGTCAGGCTCTTTCATTTATGTATTCCTTATGGCTGCTTTCACATTACGATGGCAGAGTTGAGAAGTTGCCACAGAAATTGTTTGGCCCATAAAACCTAATATTTATGTCTGGCCTTTTGCAGAAAAAGTTTGTGGACCCACCCCATATTGCGGTCAGCAGCACAGTTTTGGAGTCAGGTGGGCATGAACTGGAATTCCAACCTCTGGCCTCAGTTTTCTTGTCTACTAAATGGTGAAAATATCATCTACCTTATATAGCTGTTGTGATGATTTCATAAAATAGTACCAAAAAACAAAAATGCATGAGGCACATAGTAGATACAGAAACAAAGAGTTACATTTTTCTTCAGCTAAAGCAGATTCTGAAAGTTATTTCTGTTATGTGAGGTAATGTCCTGAATCATAATTGGTCCATGTACAGCAACATTCTAAGGTTTGCTTACTGATCACCTCTGTTAGGTCACAGGAAACAAATTGGGGGATGACCACTAAAATGTCCTCAACTGGGTAATCTGCAGACAGTTTTTAAAACCAACATGGCACTTTTCTTCTCAGACTTCAAATTTAATTTTAAAATAAAACAGACAAGCGGTTATTTCTCAAAATTCATTCATTCCGTTTTCTTCTGGCAATGTTCTTGCCATTTCATCAGTAGACATTGTTCCGGATGGAGGTGATAAAGAGGCATCTGGAAGCAACAGGTTGCATACGTGTAGATACAAACATGAAGGTGTCAGTCACCCACAACAGAGATGTGTTTTTACTAGTCTTTCCAGACACAGCGCTGGAGGCTCCTTCTGGAGGGTACAGTTAGGCCAAGGTAGCAAGGGATGGCAACAGAGAAAGCAAAGCCATGTGCCCAAGACCCAAAAGCCAAGGAAGAGGGTGCACTGCTACTGCTAGGTTCTGGTGCCCTGGGGGAGAAATCAATTACCAAGTGAACTAAATATCTGGGGGAAATGCAAGCCAAGGAGTCACTGAACTAAACACCGGACAAAAATCTATCTCAGTCTCTCTCTGTTCTTAAGAGCAAGAACTCCAAGGTTGAGGTCTCAGGAGACTGAGCTGTGGCCAGATTATGAAGTGCGGGGTAATGGAGAGGAGGGAGGGATAACAGCAAGAGCATTAGCAGGACTGTCCACAAAGACGGCAAAACATCCCCCAGCACAGGTAGCAGGTCCCCAGGCTGTTGCTATTCCCGGCTATCGGATCTATCACTGGGTCACTGGAAGTAAGGAGTTATCTGTCTAAGAGAAGCCTTCTATTTTTCAGTTGGGTAAAGGATAGGCTCAGAGGCCCAGAGTATCCCACCTACCTCTGCCCTGCTTCCTCAAAATCCCAAAGTAAATTTATCAAACGGGCTCCATAAGCACATTCACAAGACATCAGCCGCTTCCTATTTCACACTGAGTAACCAAGGTGACAAATCCACAGACACACAGGGACACAGGACGGGAGGTACTACTGCCTGGCACAGTAAATCATGATTAGGGTTTCAGGTAGTCTTAACACACTGCATACGGTAAAGTTTTATGGTTCCTTTTATAATAGTTAGCTTTATACCAGTATTCCAAAAAGTCCACTTCTTTTTCACTGAATGGTTATCAAGATAGAGAAGATAACCAGCCTGCCCAAGCTGTCAGTAGAAGGCAGAACAAATGAAAATCCTGATAAACTACTAATTATTTGTGGAAATGCTTATAGGATCTAAACCCTGCACGTACCCTGTGATAAATGTGCAAATGAGAAAGTGCTAGCCAAGAAAGGAGGTGCTTGGAAGGATGACTCAAGCTGATATAAGGAATTTGCTGAATAACTGGCAGCTCTGGGTTTGTAAGAAACTCCACGGCCCCTGGAATAACTCTTAAGGGAGCTATGAACAGTGTCCACAGCGTCTGGAACTAGCAAACACTCTTCTTTGGAGAACTTCGTAACAGTCGTCACTAGCAAACCGTCAAGCCTGCTCCAGAGCCTTTTGTCTTTTCCTAGGGGATCCTCTGATTATTGAAACCTTAACTGAGGAAAAGCCCTCATTAAGGACCAAAACCACCAGGAAATAAGCAGCTGGGGACGCCTTCTGTGTGGCCACTGCGGGTGGCAGGACACAACCCCAGCTTGGACCTGGGTAGTATCCAGGCACTTTTCTCAAGAAAGGATGGAGAAGTGGGAAAGAAGGATGCAAAGCTACTTAGAGCTGCAGGAAGGGCTGGATTTAAATGTAATTTTATATCACTACATCTCAGGGCTGTTCTAAAATCTCAACGCAAAAGCTTTATCGCCAGGGTTTATTTTTAGAACATATTTGACTACTGAGAAAAATCTCCATTTAGAATGCATTGTGCCTTGGACCAAATCTCTCAACAGTACCCAGAGTTTATGCAAAAGTTGGGCAAAAGGCCAGTTAAGAAGGCAGAGTGTTCAGAGCCCTGTTTTAGTGTCAATATCAGCTATTACTAAGAAGAAAGTTACTACTGATATAAGTTGGCAAAAGGAAGACAAAGGAAAATGGAGGAGGTGGGAGGCTTTCCTCTTCCTTTTATTTTGTCCAGTTCTGTTCAAGTCCACTTCAGTTAGGCCGGTAGACCCAGCTTCATTCGCAAGAGAAAGGGAGTATTCCTGTGGTTTAACACAGCCTATCAGAGGTATTAGGCAACTAAGAAGCTCATTTTGAAATCTAGCAGCATTTTTCTCAATCAGGAATTTTGAAATTTAAATCCTCAAAGACAGCTACTCACAGGCCATTGTGTGGTAAATGCTGGGCCAGTACTGACCGCTGTCTCTTTTCAGCCATACTCGGATAGTTCTGTGGAGAAAAGCAAAGAAGAAAACGAGTAGTCTTTAGTAATTTTACCTTCTTTTCCGCTCCAGGCAAACTTTTTATTTTATTTTCAATATTGTTTCCCATTGACCTTATAACATTAATCAACTGGAAAAATTAGACAAATACACACACAGAGCATTATGGTATACTTTATACTAGTATATATGTGTATATACACACACACATATTATATAGTTACCTACAGCATGTCCATACATGGCGAGTTATGCAGTAACTAGGAGTCAGGATTCTAAATAACTTTAATAATATGGAAAATGTTCATTATATAATGATATACAAAGAAAGCTGAGAACTATTAACTACTTTTCTTGGCAACAAACTGCAAACTTGGTCGCTTGGCTTTCTCAGCCAAATGAGAGTCGTAGATGTAAATGGAAAGAAAACGTTTCTGGAGAGCTGGGAGAGACGTGCGTACAAAGCAGAGCCCACACCACTGCTCATTCACAGGTAATTCCCAGTCGTCTTGGCTCCGGGAGGAAATCCTTCCACACCCGTCTCTGAGCCTCTCCTTTCACCAGAACACACACAGAGAGATGAGGAAATCCTGGACACAGGCAGGAAGATGACACACGACCAAAACAGCCAAAGTTTAATATTTTGGCTTATCACCTCAGAAGAACACTATGGAATATTTCTCCAGCACTCATGGAACCTCCAGGAAGCTCTGGGCCCCTTCCTCTTCAGAGTAGGACACTCACTGCCTTTTCCGGCACAGCTGTGCTCTGTCTTCGCCATGACTCCTGTCTCAGTGTCCCTTATTGTCAGCTCTGTCACACTCTTTTATTTCTAACAGCAACACAGATTCTGGCCCACAGCCAGCACTGAATTAATGGTTGCAACCTTGAACTAAAACACAGTAAGGCTAAATGTTGACACTGTTTCCATTCTGCTTGAAGTTCAAGACAAGTAAGACAGGTCTATGAGGATAAAAATCAGAATAGTGGTTGCTTCTGGGGGTGCAGACAGAATGCAGTGAAGGGATGTGAGGGAACCTTCTAGGGCCATGGTAAGGCTCTGGGGAGCAGGTGACGTGGGTGTATGCATCTTTCAGAACCTGCCCAGCTGTACTTAAGATCTTACAGATTACTGTAAATGATTAGAGCTAAATAAAAGAAAATAAAGACTAGATCTTGACTTTCATTCATCCAAATAAATAAGAGGACCTAGCAGCACAGCGGGAATCATGCTATTTTAAAGGTGAACTGGCCATACAGGCCTTAGTGTAGGAAGAGCCATTTGTAAAACACGACCCATCTTCCAGCCACTGCTAACTGGTCATGATGGAACCTTTGGCCAAGTTGAATCCCTCAGAATTTTTCTCTACATCCCACCTCTGATCACAACTGGCCAGACCAGAAATGGGATCAGTCAGTTCCTTCCCTGGGAAATCAGAAACCAGGAGAGACAGAAATAGATCAGTATGTCTCCAGTAGTTGAAATGACTGTTTCTGGTCACACATTTTGCAAGTTGGACTGGAGAATTTTGTACGTTAATAAAAGGGAAAGAATGAAGCCGACCAAAGAGAAGCAGTAGCAAGCTGGAGACAGTCCAGGTGGAGAGTCCCCCATGCCAGCTGCTCCTGAGGCCACTATTTCCCTAGACTTGGGTTCCATGAGGCAGATACGCCAGCATCCTCACCATAAACACCCTCAGCAGCTTAAGCGAATCTGAGTAACCTTTGCTATTTGCAAGCAAACAGGTACTCATACACTGTGTCTGCGTGGGATACCATGAAGACTCTCGGACACGGTCTCTTCGTTCAGGCACCATTAAACAAGATCCTACGTGACAAAGTTCACAAGGCAAGGCAATCAGGCAGACTCCTTCAGGAGTACCTATATTGTGATAGGAAGTTCTAGAAAGTTCAAGTTCACATCCAAAATTAAAAGGGAA